CCCTTGGTTTCATTAATGCGATGCATGCGTTCCATGATGTTGTATTGCACTCATTGATCTACCAGTTATGTTGAATGATTTCTCTTTTAATATCAATTACTCACAAATACTTCATATATTTCAATCATACAAACAACTGCTCATTCAATGTGTGACGGGCGTATTATATACCGCTCGCGGTAACCTTGTTGCCATGTAAAATGAAAAAAAAAATATACCTCCCTGTCGTATCACTTTTGAAAAAAATTGGCCTGAGAACCAAGTAATTAATTTTATTTGGCCTAATTACATCTCAAATCACCATCCCATTCCTGTCTCCCATTCAACCTCTAGTTCCTGTCTTCTGTTCATTATTCTCTGTCCTCTACCATGTCCTCTGTTCACCATCTCTTTTCTCCCTGTTTAGTGTTCATCATCTTACATCAAAATTCCTTACCCTCTATATACAGAGTTATGGTCCTTCAATTATTTTTTAACACCAAAGTTTATCCACGGCATAACATCTAAACCATCAAAGATATCTTAATCAAACTTAAAGTATACCTGCATCACCAATAAAAGGTGTGCAGTGCACTGGAAATAGGCTTTGTGCCCCACTATAGACAGAATTATGGCCCTTTGTTTATTTTTAATACCGAAGTTTGTCCAGAGCATAAGTTCCATGTTATTTCATCTACGTTGACCAATCTTAACATATTTATGTATCTTGGGAAGGTGGAATCTCTCGCACTAAAATCAGGTTTTGTGCAACACTATATACAGAGTTATGGCCCTTTGTTTATTTTTATAACCAAAGTTTGTCCACGGCATAACTTCCATGCTATTTAACCTACATTGACCAAACTTGCTATACTTTTAATGTATCTTGGGAAGTAGGAGTGTCACATTCTAATTTCGGGTCTTGTTCCCCACTATATAAAGAGATTTGGCCCTTTGTTAATTTGTTATACCGAAGTTTGTCTATTGGCTTATAAGGGGAAAAATATGATTTTGTTCACAAAATAAAATTCTAGTCATTTTCTGTCATCATCCGATTCCTGTCTCAAGTTCTATTTTCCTGGCCCCTATCCTATCTTTGTCAATGTTCATTCGTTCCGTTCCTATCGTATTTCTATCCTTTGGTGTTCATTATTTCTTGTCTCCTAAATGCTGTCAAGTACAGATGTAAAATGTTAACATCACTGGGATCTTCAACTTGTTGCTGGAACTCTGTGTTAAGGAGATTTCATAAAATGGAAACTTATAATATTTTTCTATCAAAATGTGTGGCTTAATGTATATTAACTGTTTTCCTCAAGAAAATCACTGTGTATGACTGGCTACCTAGATGGTTGGAGATACTAGACAATGGATCAATTTATAATATCAGTGATACAGTATCAACGCCAGAGAGACCAACATGCCCTTATAAAGGTAAGATTTATATATAATATCTACATCACTAATACATACATACATATATCTACATCACTGATACATTAAAGATATAGGTAAGATTATACATTATTCTACAATGTAGAAGAGGTAGGGTTTAATAGAAATGTCCACATCAAGTGATTAGCACTTATTGTGTAATACCAAGCACACCAACATACTCTGTCTCCTGCATACACACACACAAGCACACATACACTATACACATGGAGGCTCGTCCTTAAGGTTGCTCAACACACCACGAAAATATGGATAAAAACCATTGAAATCTAAATATAATGTTTCCTATGATTACCCAATAACTTCCTAGACCGACAAGCTCATCATTTTTTTCCCGAAAACCATGGAAAATGCCATTTTTTAAAATAAAACTTTCTCAACTTTTTGAGGCTGCATAATTATGCATCTTCACATATTAATTGCCTGAGGCCGTTTATACCAATGTACGGCACACAAAATTATACAACGTGGAGACGAATTAATTTCCAACTTTATCAATTTAACAAATAAGGACAAGTAAAACAAGTTTCAAAATTGTATTTGGAACTATTTTTTTTTTTTTTTTAAATAACATAAAAACTTCAAAAACTGGAATGTCTCCCAAACTGACGGTTTGAAACATTGTGATGTAAAACCAACTTCTGTAGACTTTTTATACGACTGTCAAATTTGACGGTAGTATTATGGTATGGGGTTGTCGATCTGTCCGGTGTAAACTTTTGTTTGTCCGGAAATCTCCTCCTACATTTTTCGACCGATCTCTTTGAAACTTGGTATACATTATAATCATGATATGAAGTTGTGTCTCCCTTAAAAGAATTTTGATTCGACAATTTTTCCAAAAGTTATTGCCCTTTGTTCTTTTCAGTATTTGATTTTTGTCCGGCAATCTCCTCCTACATTTTTCAACGGGTCTCTTTGAAACTTAGTATACATTATGATCATGATATGAAGTTGTGTCTTCCTTAAAAGAATTTTGATTCAACGATTTTTGCAAAAGTTAATTATTGCCCTTTGTTCATTTCAGTATTTGAATTTTGTCCGGCAATCTCCTACATTTTTCAACGGATCTCTTTGAAACTTAGAATACATTATAATCATGATATGAAGTTGCGTCTCCCTTAAAAGAATTTTGATTCGACGATTTTTGCAAGAGTTATTGCCCTTTGTTCATTTCAGTATTTGATTTTTTGTCTGAAGATTTTCTCCTACATTTTCTATAGCATGTCAGCTAACCACCCTTAGAATGATGCAGATCTTATTTCAATGTAAGAAAGTATATAACACTATATGGCATTCGACGGGCGTATTTTGTTCCGCCCCGCGGTACTCTTATTACATCTTCTAATGCAGATTGTGCAGCATACTCAATTCCCTGTGTGTCTCTAACTAAAGACAGCTGACAATAATTAAGTAGAGCGACCAGGCAGAATATCTCTAAACATATACATGCTGTCTACAAAGCCAATCACTGTAGTTAACAATCCACAAGTGACATGTTTTTGAATGGCTTTTCCAAGTATAACAGAGTCAAATGTCTTGCCATTATGACACACTAATACTGGATTGGGAATACCCTTCAACCAGTGGTTGAAGTCCATTAAACATGTCTCCTCTGTAACTGCATCAAGTCTTCTGTCATGGTGATAAAATTTGGTACCTACAATATGTAGACCAGTTACAGCACTTGCTTTGGGATTGATTGGGATAGTAAGCATGACATGCCTATCAAAAGACTATCATGATCACCATAAACAGCTGCCAGTTGTACTATTTCTGAAGATGTACCTGTAATATATAACATTATAAATTGATACTTCAGATATTGATAAAATTACATGAATCAACTTCAAATCTACATATATATATATATATCTGTCAACAAACTCATAAAAACATCAGATTCTGAGATATATGGCAAGGGTCATAACTCTGATTTTAGCATAACTGCATGTATTGTAATATAGGATCATTTCTTAAAAAAAAGAGATAATTTCTAATCACTGTAAGATTGTCAAGCAATTATGTAATGTAAGTATTGTTGTTGTATGATTTTTACTTGTGTGAAGAACACATGCTATGCAAATAAAAGAATTGTAGAATAAATATAATGTTTCATGATATTTTCATTTTTGAGAAAAGTAAGAAATGGAAATTGTACCTAGGCCAGTTGTCTCTAAATCAAAATACACATAGCTGTATTTTCCAGGTGGTATATATGTTTGTAGGAACTTGAGGGATGATATATGTTCTGGTATGGCTGTTAGATCTTGTGAAGTACTGTCATCCATGTCGACTCCAGATTGATATGTTGCTCCCTTTTTGACTTCTGTTGTTGAAACATGTGTGGCTGTTGATGTTCGAAGCTCATGACGACGTTTCTTGTATTCTGTGCTACTCTTTCGATCATTGTCATTCTCTCTTTTCCTGTCCATGGATTGTATATGATCCTCTGTGTTTTTACCGGGAGACAATAAGAGTTGTTCATGTGCCTGAAATTCAAAATAAATAAATTAGAATATCTAATGGAAACTAATTTCACAACAAACATTTAATCCAAAGTTTGAAAAAGAAACACACTGTACATTGTATGTGTAAAATGAATATGGTGTTTAAGCCATTTAAATGAAAAATGTTTTGTCTATAAACATAAATTAAAACATTTGAGTGTAGTTAAACATGGAATAAATATGAACTATACCTTTGCTATAGTTGAGGGACCAATGTTTTTCTGTGCAACAGCTGCAGCAACTCTAAAAGCAGTGCTTACTGACACTGAGAATCACTTAAGAGCGAAAAAATCAATTCTACGACTTAATCTACCTTATTATACCAGTAAACTTCAATTAGCATTGAATTTTACAAAACACAATCTAAATCATAAATTCATGACCGAACTTAATGACGTACCAGCTAAATAATCTATGAATGGCTAACTTAATGATGTACAATCTAAATCATATTTGCATTGCCCAAATTACGGAAACACTCTCTAAATTAGCGAAGCACCATTTAAATTTAAAAACCATATCCAAGTTATCGGGACATGGACCAGTTTTCAGGAACAACAACCAATTTTCAGGGACAACAACCAATTTTCAGGAACATAACAATTCAATAAGATTGTGCCTTTGTTCCCGAAAACTGGTCGTTGGCCCCCGAAAATTAAGTCGTTGTCCCGCTCACTCGCACAGCGGTATTCCCTTTGATGTAGCCGCGCTCCGGCGAAGCCCGTACAGGTGAGGCAGTCTATAGTCCCTGCCTTGCTGGCCGTGTTGTCGGTATAGCTATGCAAAGACGGTTGCTCTAATTCCGTAATCAAAACGATATAATAACACAGGTCGATAGTACACTTATATTTACTTCGAATGAAATAAATAAAGACCAAGGAAATAATGCTTATTTTGTACTACGGCCAGGGTTAGGATCGAAATGAACGACCATTTGAGAATAATGCATAACTTTTACCGTATTGCTGAACTGGTGCTTTGATACATCACTCCAGGGACACATGAAGCCAGTATATACGTCTCTGATCACTCATATAATAATCAAAAACACAATATGAACTCTCAATATTAACGATATTTAATGACGAATGATAAGTACGTCCCGATGTCGTATACAACTTATATTACGTAAACTATATCCCCCGGCTCCGTTCGGTCCGAGGTAAATGTTCATAAACGAACCACTGTATATATATATATATGTTAAGACAGTTTACGTTCCTATTTTGCTTCATATACCTTTCAATCGTTTTTTATGTTGTTAATAGTTTTGTGATTTATATAATCCTCTTAGTAAGGAGATTCCCGATCACCTGTCCTCTCAGCTTTTAATTTCTATTGTATTTAACATAAATGTATTTTATTCATATTTTGGTGTTTTTTTAATCATTACTGATATAATTTCAATTAAATGGAACTTTATCTTTCCTGTACTGTCGTAAGAATATCCCTTCTGATTTAATGTTTCATGTTATAATATTTAAGGTTGAACTTTCTATTTAGTTTAGGTTATCGGGTGATAAAGAAAAAATAATTTACCCGGGTTCCATTGTAGTTATCACCCGATAACCTAAATTGAATAGAAAGTTAATCCTTATATTTATAGCCTTTTTCTTTACATAAAACGCGTCCATTTATGTCATCAAAGTAAACGTATGTAAATGAACACACAATCCAGCCGTCCTGTCAGTCAACAACGTGACGTCATCGGAATGTATGAATTTCAACAATGTATATTTACATTTCAACAATGTATCTTTTGCATGAATACACTAATGAGTTACACATCTGGTATCCGAGGTACTCCTGTTAACTTCCTAAAACAGCAATGTAAGCTCCCGGGTTGTTGAAACTTCGAGTGATAATGACAATGATCTCCACAAAGGCTTTCATTAGAAAAAATACCATTTAAGTTACGTACACTTATGTGTTTAAAGTGAACGAAATTTTCGAAATATCTTGTTTCTTTATTCATTTAAAGCGAACTTAACCATTTCAGAAAGATAATGTGCATCCGTATGTCAGTTATCAAAACTGTATAAAGTAAAGAGAGAAAAAAAATAGAGCATTATTCTTAACCAGAGACGTTATATTACAATATATACGACTTTGGTGTATAGTCTAAACAGTTGCTCTCGTCTAACGAACCTGTGATTACTAAAATTTAGAACCTATGAAACTTCTTATATAAAAGGCTAAGCGTGATCCGGTTGTTAAATATATGAATTATCAGAATTAATATTGAATATTGTATTACCTGTCTTCAGACAGAGACATATAAAGCCGTAAGTAGTATATACGTTTCCGCTTCAGGTCAACCATGACAATCAGAATAATATATAAACTAAAGGTATTTTGTTTTGGTTTCCTTTATATCATAACCAGAGACCTTCTCTGTATTAACGTAATATGTTAGGTATCAGTACATTTTACTCATAGTTCCAGTAGTATTAGTAATCATTATCATAT